AAGAAGTAACTAAAAGAGTAATTCAAAAAATTGTTTTAAATGTTTCTATCTAACCAATGCTCTCAACACAAAACAGTCTAGCTTAATAGAATTGTGCTACTCACCGAGTAATTACAACATTTCATCCTAGTGGCAAGTAATAGGATGATTTAAATTTAAAGTATGATGACTGTCTTCTTTCAGTTTGGTCAGTGTATTCGGTGTAGGAATTGCTTAGTTCAGAGATAAGGACGGGAGTCTGAATGTAAGGCTCTTAATGAATGTGAGACCTGGTACAGCAGCCTCATACCATTCTGGCCCCTACTCAGTTTATACATTTGGCTCTTTGTCAGTCCTGTCAGCAGAACACAGAGAAGTGGCCTGATATTGAAGAATGTGTTGTCAGTCATTCACGAAAAAGTCTGCTATGTGCCAAAGGCCACACCTGGGGTTACATATTTAGGGAGAAACAAGGTAGGTGGGTGGTCTTTGAGCTCACAGAACTCATAGTCTTCCTAGAGTGGTCGGCAAACTGCTGCTTGCGAGCCACAGTTTGCCAACCACTGGTCTAGAGGGGATGTAGGCAATAAACAATCATTTAGTTTAAAATGGAGCTCAATCTTGTGAAGAAGTGAAAGCAAGGCAATGTGTGAGAGAATGAAGAGTGTGAGGGAATGGAGGAAAGAACACATGCTTCAGACAGGGTGATCAGGGAGGCCTTTCTGAGGAGGTGACATTTTAGGTGGGAATGAAGGCTGCAAAGGAGCCAGGTGTGGCAAAGAAAAAGGAAAAGCATTTCAGGCTGAGGGAACAGCCCGTGTGAAGCCTGAAGGCAGGAAAGGGCTGGAGACACTGAGGCTGCTAAGAGAGAAGCTAGAGTGTGATGAGCTTTTTCACGCAAGCCTCCTACTGAGTCCACGTTGACAGTGCCCTCTGGGCTGTGCCACGTGGTGGCCTGGCCGAGAGGTGAGGCTGACAGCGGACAGAAGCGTCACACAGACCCTCCACAGATTTGATAAGGAGTTTGTGGTGTGGCAACTGAAATTTTTACAAAACTCCAGAAAGTGGTGCACTAGGATGAAATGTAGTTACCCTATGAGCAGCACAATTCTATTCAGCTAGACTGTGTTGCATTGGGAGCATCAGTTAGATAGAAACATTTAAAAGAACCACTTTTGAAGTACTCATTTAGTGCTTGCTTCAGATTTTCATAAATCCACAGCTTCAAAAATGAACCTCAGACCTCTCTCAACCACCATGAGAACCTGAAACTAGATGTAAATGTGTATTTGCTCTGCTGGGATTTAATCATCAGAAATAATTATGTCCATGGCATCCTTATGTTTACTCTGGAAACACACATCATAGATGACAGAGGAAACTTGAGAAGGCTTGAAAAACAGATTGGACCTGCATCGTGGGACGTAAGTCAGAGACGGGGTTCCTTCTGTTTGGAGGATCCAGGGTTTTCATATATTTGGAATACAGACCTTTAAAATGTCCTGGGAATTCTGGGGGGGGGGGGAACCCCACCCACATTCCCAGGATATTAGAGAGATTTCATTATACAAGAGAGATTTCACCTAAATTAAAAAGAATTAAGAAGAATTTTGGAGGTTTCTAATAGTAATGGTGCTAACTAGAAAGAGAATGCTAAGGTGTTTGATATTGGAAGAACAAGAGAAAGTCACCTTGACCAGAAATATCCTTAGAAGATGAAACAAAGCTTATCGTCAGAATATTCCAAAAGGCACTGGTGGAAGCACATATGTGCAAGCTGAAGAGGCCAGGTGTGGTGTGTGTGTGCGCGCATGCATGCGTGTGTGTGCGTGTTGTGTGTGGTGTGTTTGTGTGCGTGTGGTGTGTGTGCACATGTGTGTGGTGTGTGTGCACGCATGCGTGTGTGTGTGCGTGTGTGTGTTGTGTGTGGTGTGTTTGTGTGTGTGTGGTGTGCGTGTTGTGTGTGGTGTGTTTGTGTGCGTGTGGTGTGTGCACATGTGTGTGGTGTGTGTGCACGTGTGCGCGTGTGCGTGTGTGTGTGTGTTGTGTGTGGTGTGTTTGTGTGTGTGGTGTGCATGTGGTGTGCGTGTGTGTACGTGCGTGTGCGTGTGCGTGTGTGTGTGTGTGTGTGTGGCGGGGGGGTTCACAGGATGGTTCCAGAGACCAAGCATTTGGTTCTCCCTCTGTACTGCAGGCATGGTCACTTCTCAGCACCCATGTCACCTCCCCCTCCCCCGCCAGGAAGCCTGAACGATGGGCCACCTACCAGAACTGTGGGTGAGGAGAGGAGCTGGGAGAGGCCACAGCTCTCCTCTTTCTAAAATCCACACCGGGACCTCGGGCTGGGTCTGGGAGGTGGGCCACCGACGAGTGCCCACTGCCATGCAGGGACACTCCTGAGGCCACTCTCTCAGGCCAGGCTGACCGCCAGCATGTGTCCAGGTTCTCCAAGCCGGGATCCGGGTCTGCATTTGATTCTCAGGGGCCTGACGCCGTGCGTGTGCGTGTGCGTGTGTGTGTGTGTGTGTGTGTGTGGCAGCGGGGGGGTGGGGAGTTTCTGATGGAAATGCTGTGACAGAAGCCATGCCAACTGCAATGCCCTTAACCGCCAGTCTAGGCCAAGGAGGTGTCCTGGGAATTTTGGGACAAGTGATAACAGCTGCAGGAAGGAAGCAGTAAGACAGGAAGTGCAGCAGTGAGAAGGTAAAGAACACAGGAGAAAGAAGGGAGAAGAAATAGTAACTAGCAGAGCAGACTACTTAGCGTCATCTCAGCAAAGAGTTCCTTCCCCCTCCCCAAATAGGGTATCAAAAATGTGACTTAAAAAAAGGTGTTAAAAATGTTTTGGAGCATGAAGGACATTTTACTAATTTCCCCCATTTTGTCACTGTGTGTGTTATAATATAACACAATTCCTAGAGAATTACAAGACCATACACCATTCTTACAGTAATACCATCAGCAAAGATGTGTGTTTCCAGACAAAACTCATAAAAGGAGTTCAGTAGTAATTTAGATAAGTATTTTAAATGCATAATGACACACATTATCAGTATTAGGTCATATGCAGATGGAAAGAGTTTAGTTTTCTGATAGTAGTTCAGCTAGAACTAAGCTTGTTTTGGCCATCAGAAAAGGTAATTTAATTGCATGACTCCAAAACAAAAATCAATCTAAATGCAGTAAAATATATTTTACAGGAATAATTCCATCTCTCTTCTCTTTTTACTTATTTTTTTCCTTCTAGCTAATGTCTACAAATCAATGGTGAAGATATCTATAGTTTTTATTTTTAAATACAATCTCTTTTTGATATGCAGAGCCCTTACACACTTTTCTAGAATAAATACTGTGGTAATCAGAGTGATGTGATTGCTATCAATTCATCAGAATGATGGCAGAGTCCTCAGATCTACAATCTAATAAAAACCCAGCACATCACCCTGTGTCGAGGGGACCCAGATCAGAACAATTAACATGCAGAGTAAAACCAAATAGGAGACAGTTTCAATGGGAACCCCCTCTGACAGGCCCCAGTTATTGGAATACTGAGATTTTGTTATGAGTCTGTACCGCTGTGTGAGCCCCACAGCACCATCGAGGAGCTCCAGTTATGCTTAAGTGTTAAAGCTGAAGAGAAATCCTAGCAATAGAATCCGAGGATTTCTTCTAAACCAAAAGGCAAACAACCACCCCTTTCCTCGCAGAGGAACAGCTTAGGTTTAGCTCTTTGACTCAGAATTGGAAATGATGCTAAAGTGGGTTTCTGAAAAAATTAAATTACAAACTGTCATATTCCATCCTACTTAATGTGAATGAGCAGAGCTTCCAGGATATACTCGATTAACATTTAAAAGGGTAAAATCTTATTGCTGTTTCTAGAGAACAAATAAAAAAGATTTTTTAAAAATCCCCCCAAATTGTGCTCCGACTTTCTAAATAACAGCACACGCTTTTCAGCTCTGACTATTGCTCAAGCAAATATTCTCATTTTTAAAAAAGCTGCTTCCCAAGTCTCTTTTCCTATAGTCTCTTACTGAAAGTGAATTTTTATATCCAAAGATTCAGAATTGGCTGTTTGACCTCAAAGCCACCTTTATGCAACATCTGAGTCTTGGGAGAGGCCCGCCTCCAGGATAATGATGCTGTGAACAGCAGCCCTGAGAGCAGACGGGCAGCTCATGTTTTGGAGTAGTTACAGGTAGAGGCCTGGAAAAGCACAGGATGTCCACGCTGTTGTTTCATTCTTAAAACCACCCATACGTCTGCTGTCACTCTTTCTCTCTTACAGAAGAGGAAATGGAAACCCGGAGAATAAGGTGTCCAGTATCACATGTCTAAGTAAAGCCAGTTCCCTGGGCCCCAGACGCTTGCTCTTATGACTGCAGTATACTATTCCTCCACTGCCAAAGGGCACAGAGCGTCCAGCCACACAGAGAGGGGCCCTAGGCCTGGGCACTCCACAGGCCTTGCAGAGGCTGGAGATGGACCGAGACCTCTGGCCAGTCTGGAGTGCAGAGAGCCTGTGCATGCCGGCTAGGCTAAGTCTGAGGCAAGGGAAGAAATGCCCTGGCACTGGGAGTGGTAAACACTCAGGCTCTGATGGTGATTGAACCTGGTTCAAACCCTGACCTAGGTGCCTACCAATATAAAACTTTGTTACTTCATCTGCTTGAATTAAGTTTCTTCTGTGAAATGAAAATGATAATAGGATCCATTTCACACAAAGTTGTGAGCCATAATGCAATAGTGCAGGTGAAGTTCTTAGACGGTACCTGACAGGGTAAGTCTTAGTCACACTAACTAAGTGTAATTGTGGACCAAGCAGAGACGGCGCGGAGCTCAGGAACCTCAGTGCAATACACTGAGCAGCACCAAGTTCCCATATTCACGTCTGTGACAGCGAATGGACATGTGAAAGGTCACAGGCTCCTTGGTGACTCAATGTCACTGCTGCCAAGAGAGGGGAAGGGGTGGATGGTCCCTGCTTTATATTCAGAAAGGAAGGAGGCGTTACTGACCGAGTCGACGAGGTTGGCTCTGTGACTTGGCGCTTCACGCGGACGCCGTGGGCACAGTTCTCCTGGGCCCCCGTCTGGGTGGAGAGGGGGATGTCCGGGGAGGTGTGGCTGATCTTCATGGAGGAGGGGCTGGGAGGGTCTAGGAAGCCCTCACTGTTCTCCTGCTCATTGATGTCTGTGTCCGTATAGTTAAGAGGCTCCTGGTTGTTGTCTTTGATACCAGAGAACAGGCCTCGTTCTCGCCACGGAACCCAGCAGAGTTTCCAAGACACGAAGAGAGACACACCAAAGAGAGCGAGGCCACACGCGGTGACCAGAAGGGTCAGCAGGCTCACCGAGATATCTGCAAAGAAGCAGAGATTAAAGGTAAGTATGATTGTCACCCGCCATCCTGCCATTGCACTGGGCAGGTCAAGTGGCCCTGCCATCCATCCATCCCTCAGCAGCCAGCTGAGGAAGTAACATGCAGGCCGTGCTTAGAAACAAGAAACAGGTTGCTGTAGCAAGAGACAGGGTATATCCAGGGGGCCTAGAAAGGCCCTGAAAGTCAACCATAACTGCATTACTATTTACACTTCCCCACAGCAACACAAATCATTGATACTAGATGACCATGGCGGTTTCATTGTCCTTAAAATTTACTCTGTCATCTCAGAGGGGAAGGGGAGGGTGGACTGGATAAAAGACAGCGAAGAGAGTAACCAAAGAACATATTACATAGCCTGTGGACACACAAAACAGAGTGGTGAAGGCCAGGGGAGGGGTGGCGGGCTGGGTGGAGGTGGGCAAACGGGGGGAGGGGAAAAATGTAGGACATCATTAATAGTGTCAACATTAAAAAAACAAAAGCAATTCCTCTGTCATCTCAGAGAGCTGTATAATATCACTTGTGAATTGTGTGAGTACGACTTTCTAAAACAAAACAAAACAAAACAAAACAAAAAACTAGAGTGCTCTTTCCCTATTCTTGATATCAACTTTTAAGGGTCTCAGCAAAATGAAGCTCAAGCCCTCTGAAGCCTCAGGAATACCCACATCCCGGCGGTCAGGGTGCCCAGGACCAGGGTCGGTGCTCCCCGTTTGGATTTTCCCGGTAGCAGACCTGAGACAAGTATTCAAGGGCAAGTGGTATGCTGAGATGAAGATAACACAGGGAGGGGAGAAGGGCAGTGATCCAGGGAAGGAAGCCAGAAGTAAAAGGGGCTTTATCAAGCCAGTTACCACCATGGGGGACTGGAGGGTGAGCCTGCTGAGGAGGCTCCATACACTGGAAGTCTCCCCGTGCCAGGGGCCAGGGACCAGGGACTTGGGCCATTTATAACATTGGCTCCCTTCAGTCACTGATTTGAGGGAAGTTCTCAGGGGGCATTTCCAACCTGCAGCATGGGTGGCAAAGTAAGCTGCAGTGGCCGGAAAAATCGCACACTCAAATAACACAAAGGCTGGCCTTTGGAGGTCAGGGGGCATGTGCTCAGGTGGTGAGGGTGAGTGTGAGGGGATATGGCAGGGCAACAACAGCATCTGCCACGTAGACTGTGGCGCCATGGCCTCAGCTAGGGTCCATGACAGTGTGGTATCTAGTGGCTGAGCTTTTAACTCTCAGAACAAAGCCCAGTCCCCTCCATGCTTCCGCCCCACCTTCTAGTGGAGCCAAGGAGGCTGAGGTGTCAACCTGAGTCAGTCCTGGCACTGTAACCCCTTCCTTTAAAGGACACCCCTACTGCCCTTACTGTGCTACAAGGACTGTCCCTGGGTTACATCTTTACTGCCCATCAGTAATATTCATACTGTGTTAGCCAAAGTTTTCTCAATCACTATACATGTCAGGCACTGTGCTAGGCTTTGGAGATACAATAGTAAAGAAGAAAATTAGGAATCGATTATTTAATATTCACAAAAATTTTTAATTGATTTCAGAGAGGAAGGGAGAGAAGGAGAGAGATAGAAACATCAGAGATGATTCTCATTGATTGCCTGCCTCCTGCACATTCCCTACTGGGAATGGAGTCTGAAACCCAGGCATGTACCCTGATTGGGAACTGTGACCTCATAGTTCATAGGTTGATGTTCAATCATTGAGCCACGGTGGCCGGACAATATTCACAAATTTAACTACCCACAGCACATCAGCAATCCATGATCCATGACAGTTGCTTAGGCATGCAAATGAACCCTTCCTGCAAACCACTGACCTCCTGAATCAAGCTGACCTCCTGGCACCCATGTGCTTTTCAATATGACTCTGAAGGTACCTGATCATTGTTATAAAATGATGAAACCGTTTCTTCATGAAAAATTGCTCTTGACAGAGAGCCAGCTGCCAGGGCTGGTGATGGATCTACTGCATCTCCTCTATGACTCCCAATCAATCTTTGCCCTAGTAGTGAAACAATATCACATCTCTGTTTGAAAACTCTGGGGTTCCAACTTCAACATGGGTAATGAGCTCAAATCTTTGCTACTTTTCTGTTTTTCAGTCCCATGGGAATGAGATGAGCAAATTACGTAACAATGGAAAACAAGGATGGGTACCATCAATCCATCCGTGAACCAGTAACACCGAGGAATTTCTGTAATTGCTTTTAAAGGAAAAGCCAATTAGTGCTGCATGCTGAACACAGGCAAATGAAAACACAGGACACAGAGGGAAAAGCAAAAATTAAAAAACACAGATGCAGGCCCAGCCAGTATGGCACAGTGGCTGAGCATCAACCTATGAACTAGGAGGTCATGGTTCGATTCCTGGTTGGACAGATGCCCAGGATGTGGGCTCCATCCTCAGTATGGGATGTACAGGAGCAGCCAATCAATGATTCTCACCCTTGATGTGTGTGTCTCTCTCTCTCTCTCTCTCTCCCTCCCTCCCTCCTTCCCACCCTCTCCTTTCTCTCTAAAAAAACACAAGTAAACAAACAGACAGACAAAAAAACTCAGATGCAGAGCAACAAGGGCAGGGATGAGAAATAGGTAGTCAGTGAGGCAACGTAAAGGGCACTAGAAATCACCCACCATAGAGCCCAGACAGGTGGTAGGGGAGCATGGTTTGGCCATAGGCTCCCCCTGGCCTGCCAGCTCACACAGGAGTGAAAATGTGTTGGTGTAACTTCTATGATAGGTGGTAGTGGTGGAAGCACAGGGAAGGAGGCCCCATCCCAGCTAATCAGGCTGTCACAGCAATCAACCCCCACTCCCTCTAATCAAATCCGAACACAAAACAGGCTTCACACCCCAGTGAAATCCCGTAATACAGTCTGTAATCCAGGTGGAAGTAAAACCCCTTCCTTAATAACTCCGGCACTGTCCTGATGCAGACACCGACAGGAGACCCCCAGGATGGCTCGAGGAGGGGTACTCGGGAAGGCAGTAGGGCCAGCTGTACTATCATCCACCCAATATTCACTCTTCCCTACCACAGCACCCCTCCCTCCTAGGGAGGAGGATGAACCTCAAGGCCCCGATGTTGGTCTTGGCCCCCTGACTTGCTCTAGTCAGTGAAATATGAGTAGATATGGCCCATGCCACCTCAGACCTCATGTAAGGGCTGGTCTTCCAGCCTAGGTGCCATCATGGGATGGCTGGGGCAGAGGCGCAAATTCCAGAATGAGCAGGAAACTGAAACCTGACCCGCAGGCGGGCAGAGGCTGCAGCTGATCCACACATTCACGAGCAACTAAGCAGCTGATGTTTTGTCACTAAGATTTTGAAGGTGTTTGTTACCATGGCAGGAAGTTGACTAGTATACATGACCCTATAATTAATTGTCCAGGGTTGGGACACTTTTAAGAGGGAAAAGAGGCGATATAAATAATCCTATGGGACAAGAGACTTCACCCAGGACCGCCCAGGGAAAAGCAGGTCATCTGGTCACTCTGGATTTAAGAATCCCACCTGAACTCTGAACTCATCAGCTCGGTACAGCATGGCCCCTCAGGGTTCACATAGCATAGAAACCATGCTAAATAAATGAAAGCCTAGGCTCACCTTGGCTAGATATCACAGGGTCCTGATCCAGATCAAGAAAAACTCCAGCTTGTTAGTTGACTCCCAGCTCATGCACCCAAAAAAAACAGCTTGCTCCCAAGTCCGGTCATGGGGGATCCATGAGAGCAGATAACTCATCTGTCTACTCAGCATCTAAAAGAGCGCCTGGCACATAGTAGGCACAGTAGGTGAAAGTTTGATGAAGCCCACTAGGAAACCTGTAGCTACCTCCTGTGTTTATCATGACTTGCAGTGTGGCCGGTAAACTCCAGGAGGCGCTAATCACATTCAGAGTTATAAATTTTTGTGTATAGAGTTGTTACAGAAAGTTTTTGGCAAATGGCAAGAGTGGCTTTTTCTTTTCTTTTCTATTATTTTTTAAATTTTTATTTTTATTGATTTCAGAGAGAAGAGAGAAGGAGAGAGGGAGACATAAACATCAATGATGAGAGAGAATCATTGATCAGCTGCCTCCTGCATGCCCCCTACTGGGGATCGAGCCCTCAACGTGGGCATATGGCCTGACTGGGAATCGAACTGCGACTTCCTTGTTCATAAGTCAACGCTCAACCACTGAGCAGCACCGGTCGGGCTAGAGTGGCTTTTTCTTATTCACAGAAAGGTGCCACATGGGTTAGCAGTGGGCCAGGGAACACCTCCCAAGAGAAACCATGGTGACCTACATAGCTACGCCAACCACTAAGCGTGATCGTCTGGACTTCTGTTTGCAAGCAGCTCAGGGGGCTCTCTACACAGTATGTTTGTACTTTTCTCTCAATTTTTCAGAAAGAAGTGCTGAGAAAATTGTTATGGAGTCACTAAGGCCATACATACTACCTACTTCAGACCTCACGACCTCAGGAAAGGAAGAGGAAGAATCCACTTAGAATCACAACATAGCTTTATTTAGAAGAACAGAAGTTATTTCTTCAGTAAGGTGGTAGGTACATGGCTATTCATTTTATTGTTGATCTTTAAACTACATGTATTTACTATGTATACTCTTTGGCTTTCATGGTATATTTCATAGTAAAAATTATAAAAATTAGTGACATTCAAAATTATTATTCTAAAGACAATTTTTCTAAAGGACAGGAATTTTTTTTTCTAATTGGTCCTTTTGTCCAAAGCTCAAGAGAATAAGCAGATGGAGATTCAGGGCTAAAAGGAGACAAATGGTAACCCAAGTCTGGTCCAGATCGGGGAGGTGCTGCTGCTCGCGGGTGACTGTGCATGAAACTACCCAGAGATGCCACTGAGTGCATCCTCCCAGGGAAGATGTGGCATGGATGCCTCGCAATTACCCTGATCATCAGAACCCTCTTCCACCAGCCACAGGACATAACGTACTGTTAGCCCCAGCCACAGGACATGATGTATTGTTAGCCACAGCCATATAACGTAATGTATGGCAGTAGCATCCCTGGACACCAGATACAACATATCGTGACACCTCTAACCCAGCAGACATCCCAGCTGGACACCTACAATTCTAAGGGATTCCTGCACAGTAAGGACTTACTTTGAAATGGCAAAATGGCAGTAGCATCCCTGGACACCAGATACAACATATCATGACACCTCTAACCCAGCAGACATCCCGGCTGGACACCTACAATTCTAAGGGATCCCTGCACAGTAAGGACTTACTTTGAAATAGCAAATATTATTGTCCAATGAGTGAAAAGCTTGAGCACCCATACACTGCGAATGGACAAGGAAAGGGCAGTTGCCCTGCTAAATTGCGAAGGGCCAGAGAAGACACATAAACTGACAACTGAAGAAAAGTCAGGGGATACATGGGACAAATTAGCAACTTAAAAGAGACTAACCAAGCTGAGTCATCAGAATAAATGGCTCTTGACATATAACAAATTAATGCAAGAGGCAACTTGATCCATCGACTCAGTGAGATGTTTAAAACAGGGGCTACGAGTGAGAACTATGGCTGCAGCAGTAACCACAGGCAGATACCCTGAGACCCCACCAGATCCAAGGCAAGGCGATTGCTGCTCTAGAGTTCCACAGCCACAATCACAGGAGGAAAGGAAAGGCATTTTCAGCCGTCAATGACTCAGAATACGCACTATTCATGCGCTCTCTCCTGCATAAAACCTAAGGAAATTCTCCAAACAAACAAGTAAAAATGCATGTCAGAATAGAGAGCCCAAGAAGGAAAGAGCATACTACACGAGATATATTTACATTCTATGATCACAAGAATTAGTTATAAGCAAAGCAAACAGTAAAAATTACATAAAATCTAAATAATTTAGTTATGAGATTATGAAGTTTAATGTAACCTTTAGGGGAAAAAAAGACTTAAAAGAGCAAAGGAATGACTACCATACATTCACTTCCATTCCAACAATTTCAACATACATGGGAGAAGAAAGAAGGAAGGATGTAAAAGCAAATGAAATGAACTATATTGTTAGCAGGAGGAGATTACAGATACTTCAACTTGATGTTACTAAGTAAATATAGGTGCAAATATGTATATCAAATATTTAAGGGAAATGTGATTCATAATGGAACATCTGCATATATATTTATATCCTGTC